AATATTTATTCAGTAAAAATTTGATATAAGATGTAATTTAATTTTTTAAATTATAAATTTATTATAAATAATAGGCCTATTTATTTATGATAAATATTTTAAATTTATTTTATTTAAAATTCAATTACTGTGTTTTTAATTTTGGTTTGAATTTTGGCGCCAAAATAGTAGTGACACCTATGCGAGCATTTGAGGCAAATGCCTGCATTTCATCATGATATAAGACTGCAAATTGCGCCAAATGTCACGAGTTTTCAATACATTATACAATTTAATCAATTGTTTCAATGATTAAAACCAATTAATAGGTGATTAATTTGTTATTTTAATCAGTAATTATATGATTTAAGAGGTTTATGGGTGTTGTGGGTGAAGGCCTCAATGCCTACAATGTATTGCAGTATTGAATTGAATGAAAACATTTTTGTCGTCAAAACGATTACGACATTCAATGCATTCATTCATCGATTGAATGCAAACACAAATCATTGACTCATTATTTACATTGACTTTTGAATCACTTTTGAATCGGATTTGAAAAACAAAACACAAAAACATTTGACTATTTGTGACAACAATTTGTGATGAGTTTAGTGTGAGATTTGGTCCCAAAAGAGATGAACGATACCAACGATAAGCCGTTTGTCTGCATCGAAAGGGCATGTCTTATGGTATGTCTATTGGATGTGATTGTAATGGCATTGAAATATTAATATAATTGTCTTCTTCTACGGTAACAGAGATTCTCGACAGTGGATCGGTTGGCAGTGCATCAGAAACAGCACACAATGAAACTGAAGTTATCGTCAATGAGTTCCCAGTTGTCGATCGCAGACCAGACGCCGACGCGGTCCATAATTTTGGGCAACTTCTTCCAAAACTGGGAGACGTCTCGACTTAACTCAGAGATACAAAAGCTAACAAATTTGACGCCAATTCCCAACGATTCCAACCACACGTCAAAGACCGCCGCCGACGACAATAAGGACAACACAAACACTTGTAACTCAAAGTCCAGTTCAGCCGACAATCCTTTCACCCAATCGTTTCAAAATGCGCTCAAAAACACCAATCATTTAAAAATACCTGAAATAACGACACGAATCACGGCTTCTTCGACATCGGATTCACCGCTCAATACGCCCTCCATTTTCCCGAACAAAGGGCTGATGGCTATTGGAAACACGGGTCTCAGTACACTCGACCATGACATCAATTCCAATACAGCAATCGATAGAGTGGACACTAATTTAATAATTGCCCCTAAAATGAAAGAGACTTCGCTTACGATTGGCAACAGTAGTAACTCTCTGTATAAAGTGGTTCTTAAGTTTCCGGACGGCCGATCATTTGAATCTCCAATAATTCAAATGCCTATTAAGTCGGCAGCGGAGCCACCATTGCCCGACACAGTATACATTGACACCAACACTGGCCGGCAACACTACACTCCCAGAACAGTTATTAACTATAATCATTACCCGTCAGTACAACAAATGCAAACCAATGAACAAAATAGATATAATAGTAATAATAATAATGGTCACAATTCTGCGGTCAATGTCTCCCGAATAGTGGCACCAAATCATTCATCAAACGTGTCGTTCACCACAGACTCCAATGCCATCCGGAGCTCATCCCGCGCTTCCATCTCCTATTCGGCCGAAAGTCTCATTCAAAACACATCAATGAATACATCGAATCAGATGTCGGCCAACAACTCTTCGTCCGCACCGAGAGATGCCAATAATGAGACCATTAATAATGCAGACAATAGTAACCGAATCTCTTATTACCAACACATTAACCACAACATCAATAATACGGTTAATAACAGTAATAACAGCACTAATAATGGCAACAATAATGCAATGCAAAGACCGGATCAAAACCAGTCAAACAATTTGTTTAATTTTGACCACTCGTTGAATAGTCGCCTAATGGGCGGCACGTCGACACCAATACCGCAAAATTGCAACAATAGTTACCCACAAATCACATTTAACTCATATCTGCCGGACACCCGTACGTCCATCGCGACGACCACTACCAGTGAATCGCTGTTTCCCATCATTTCCAGTACCGCGACAGTCAATACCAATTCCAATAGAAATTTGACCACAAATTCAGTCACTAATAGTAACAACTATTCGAATGACCACAACATTAATCAACAAATCAGATATAATTTGATGTCTGAAATAACTGGTTTACCCAAAGTGATGACAACTATTATTACACCAGTTTTTACGACACAACCAATCGATTTAAGGACAAGATTTAGTGTTTTAAAAATATATGACAAATTAGTGAACTATAATTTTACTATCGCTGAAATAATTGATTTCATTTGCATTACATTCACAATTTCTCGCTCGTCTTTTTATAACATTAAAAATAGTGGTTTAAAAGAGCCCAAGAAGAGTATCAGAGGACCGTCATATACATATAATGACAATGATTATGTTATTATCGATGGAATTATAACACAATTAAAGAAATCACAAAAATGTGTATTGAAATCACATGTTTGGCAATATATTTATGACAGAAAAACTGATTACAAGTTTCTGTTATCATTTAAAAATTGTTGCCAATCGTTATTCTACGAGAAGATGGAGGAAATGGGATACAAGTATGAATACACAAAAAAGATTATCAGAGAAGAACTCATTGAATCACCACGAATTAAGAAATTAATTAAAGAATATTTGATTGAAAAATTACGTTTGGAAAAACTGGTTGACTTAAAAACTGGTGGCAATCCTCCCCCGATTGTGTTTTTAGATGAAACAGCCATTCATCGCAATCATCTTAACAACAAAACATTGCAAGAAATTGATGTTAATAAACGCACACCAATTGATGGAAAGGTAAATACAATGATTTCAATTTTTCAATACATATTATATAAAGTTATTATTATTTAATTACAGATAGGTTCCGGTGATCGATTTATGATAATCCACGCTATCACTGAGAAAGGGTTTGTTGAGGGCGCAGACTATATTGTTCACAAAGAAGACATCAATAGTGCAATGTTTGAACAATATATGTCCGATCAGCTTATGCCAATATTAGCCAAACATCCCCATACGATTGTTGTTATGGATAATTGTCCCGTTCACTCACGATCTTACGATAGGACACCAACAAAGTCTGCAAACAAAACTGTTCTCAAGGAATGGTTAACAAAAAAAGGCATACCATTTGATAATAAATTAAAACAAACTGAATTATATGAAATAGTTAAGGCAAATTATTGTGAACCAAAATATTATGTCGAAGATATTGTCAATAGTTTTAATTGCCATCTCTTGTGGCTCCCTCCCTACTGTTGTCAATTTAACGGAATTGAAATGGTTTGGAGCCAATTGAAGAAAATCGTTGGAAACAATAATTTTTCTAAAACGGCCAAAGAATTCACTGCTTTAATAAAGAAGACTTTCAATGAAATAATGCCAGAATCCATTGAAAGATCTCTACGACATGTCATTCGAGTAGAAGAGGCAAAATATTGTAAAGAATTTAATATCTTTAATTGCAATACATCTACAAGTGGTATAATCGATGATAACAATCATACAAACCAACCGCCAATCAGTGAACCATCAGTGATCTCTTCAGCAAACAATTGTCACGAAGAATCCAACACAATGTCAACAACTTGTGTTTATAGTGAAGATTATGATGTATCGCAGCATAAATTAAAATCAAGTTTTAAAACCTATTCCCGCAAACAAAAACCTTATGATTTGGCATCCATTGGAAGCAACACCACTTCTTCGTCAGACAAATCATAAAATTTACGATTTGCGAAAAATCGTATTTAATTGTAAGAAAAATTCAAATATTTAATTCTCTTATATTAACAAGTATTTGTATAAATCAATAGTTGGCCTAAAATCTTGTTATTTAATGGGAATCAGCGCTCAATTGAACGACTCTTTGAATATTTGAGTCAAAATTTACGTCAAAATGAATTCATAGATATTTCTGGCATTGATTTCGTGAAGACAGCGGTCATCGAAGCGACTCATTATCACGATTTACTTGACTATAAATCAGATAAACTTCACATTAAAGCCAAACAAAATCAATCGTTAAATGAAGTGTTGAATCAAAGTTTGCATTTTGCGGGCAATTCATCGCTTGAAACCATTTGTGCCGTTATTTGCAAAAGACTATTCAAATATACTGACAGTCAAATCAAACTCTTGTCGATTGGACAGCAATTTGAGCAAAATTTGAGTCAAAATAATTCATTGAATGCAATGATTATAACCAGAGATGACATCGTGTTGTCCGACAACCAAATGAACAATTTATACCAATTGTTATGGAAATGTTTCACAGATTTAGACCTCAAATGTCGTGCAATTCGTTCATCCGTTAATCAATTGGAAAGAAGCCAATACTCGGGCATTGATATTGAGGTTTGGCACCAATCGGAGAATCAATGGACAACTGTTTCGCAGATAACACACTATAAAGATTACATTAGTCGACGTCTGGGCGCTCCCGACTCTCACCTCATCAACGCTTCCAGGGCATTGATATCGAGGTTTGGCACCAATCGGAGAATCAATGGACAACTGTTTCGCAGATAACACACTATAAAGATTACATTAGCCGACGTCTGGGCGCTCCCGACTCTCACCTCATCAACGCTTCCATCCATTTGTTGCCAATAATAATAGCGATTATCGAACAAAATCAGACCATCGATGCGGACATAGAAATACCAATTTGTTTAAAACAATTCATCATTTAATTAAATAAAAACTTCTAATTTATAATTGTTTGCGAATTACTAATAAATTTTAAACCAAATGTTGAATTTATTGCAATTAATGATGAGATAAATTGCAGCTTAACTATAATTTGGAGCTAAAATTATTTCAATTAAATTACAATAATTATTCATTCAATATCTGCGGTCATTAGACGGCCGTAAAAGTGGTCATAAAATCGATCACTATTTTCTTCAGCTTAGCGTCAGTGTCATCGCTAATCTTGCCTTCGGTGGCGATTGTGTTCAACAAGGCTTGATGTGAAGTCTTGATGTGCGCTAAGAACTGCTTCTCGAATTCGCCGATCTTAGCAGGGTCCAATTTGTCCAGATATCCACGCACTCCCGTATAGATCACCGCCACCTGATCCTCAATAGGCATTGGAACTGAAATGCGGCGCCAAATCAGTATTAATAAATGTCATAAATGTCACACAACTCTTGTGTCAACCCTTACCGTATTGGCCCTGTTTTAAGAGTTCAGTCAAACGGACGCCTCTATTCAGCAGTTGTTGTGTAGCGGCGTCTAAGTCAGAGCCGAACTGAGCGAAAGCGGCCACTTCTCGGTACTGCGCTAACTCCAGCTTCATTGAACCCGCGACCTATCATTACACACACAATACATATCCATCAATACAACAAATCCAAGCGTTAACTTCACATTAGTATCCAAACCTGTTTCATAGCTTTGGTCTGAGCGGCAGAACCGACTCGACTCACAGACAGACCCACATTAATGGCCGGACGAATACCTTTGTAGAAGAGCTCAGTCTCTAAGAAGATCTGTCCGTCAGTAATAGAGATGACATTCGTTGGAATATATGCGGAGACATCACCGGCCTATCGATTATCATAATTGTTTCAAATTTAGTATTTATTTAATTAATTCACATTCGAGTCAATACTTACTTGAGTCTCAATGACGGGAAGAGCGGTCAAAGAGCCGCCACCGAAAGAGTCATTCATTTTGGCCGCGCGTTCCAGAAGTCGAGAGTGAAGATAGAATACGTCTCCGGGATAGGCCTCACGACCCGGAGGTCGGCGAAGCAATAGAGACATTTGACGGTAAGCCACGGCCTGTCATTTGGGATGCGATACAAGCCATTAGTTACACAAATAGCGGTATAAAAGTGGACACAATTTACTTGTTTAGACAAATCGTCGAAAATGATGAGAGCGTGCATTCCGGAGTCTCTGAAGAACTCTCCCATTGCGCACCCGGAATAGGGCGCCAAATACTGGAGCGGCGCCGCATCTGAAGCGGTAGCGCACACCACAATAGTATATCTCATAGCGTCCGAGTCTGTCAAACGTTTGACAATCTGCGCGACAGTCGATCTCTTCTGTCCGATAGCGACGTAAACGCAGAACAGCTTCTTCTTCTCTTCGGAGCCTTCATTGAATCGCTTCTGATTGATGATAGTGTCGATTGCGATCGCAGTTTTGCCGGTCTGTCGATCGCCAATAATCAACTCTCGCTGTCCTCTTCCGATGGGCACTAAACTGTCCACAGCTTTCATACCCGTAAGCATAGGCTCTCTCACACTAACACGCGGTATAATTCCGGGCGCTTTCAGACCGACTCGAGCCCTCTTTGTTGTCTTAATGGGTCCCTTCCCGTCAATGGGGTTTCCCAGAGCGTCCACTACTCGGCCCAACAGCTCTATACCAATGGGTACGTCAACGATAGCACCCGTTCTCTTCACGATATCGCCCTCTTTGATGAGTTTGTCGTTACCGAAGACCACAATACCGACGTTATCGGGCTCTAAGTTGAGAGCCATTCCCTGAGCAACACAAACCGGTCCATGAGTTCAACACTTCAACACACAAATCAAGTCATAACAAATACCTTCAGACCGCTGGAGAACTCCACCATCTCGTCGGCCTGAATATTCTTCAAGCCGTAGACACGAGCGATACCGTCGCCGATGGACAGCACTCGGCCGGTCTCGTCCAGATTGGCTGAAGCCGTTTGGCCCAGAATTCTCTCCTCCAAAATGGTCGACACCTCTGCGCCGCCCGAAGAGGCGTGAAGTCGACCGCTGGTCGATATGCATCGCATGGCGTTATTCATGGCAGTCATGCCGATCGGCGAATACGCCTTCGAGAGCTGTTGTGGACACCAATGGGTAATCATTATCACTAAGAATGGCCGGCAATGTGTTCTCTGAGAGGTCGTAAACTCACGTTTTTCAATAGCGACACCTTTGAGGCCGAACTTCGGCTCAGATTCAGTGATCGCACGGCGAGTGAACTCAACGCCATTTTGTTGTCCTTCTAATCAAATCAAAGGTTATATCAATTGCTTTTCACTACACTTCACGCATCCGTCCAATAGGTTTGGCACACAATCCATGCGTCCATTCATTAAACGAGTGCTAAATTGGCGTAAATATAGTAAACAATTAAATACTGACCGATAAAGTGATGAATGAATAAAACCAGAGATCAGTTCACAAGTGAGAGAGCAGTCACTGCGATATGAGGTCTGCTTTGAGAGGCAGTCACTGCGCGTGCGCTCAACACATGTCTCCCTTTAATGTCGACATTATTTATACAATTTTTGTCTCACTTTTGGAAACACTTTTTGTACGACTCTTTCGATCACTAAATCACTGATCCTTTCATTCATTCAAACCATTGATTCACTCGTTATTTAGCGTCCATTTGATTGACCGCTCATTGCATGTGATTTCACACAACAGACAGACCATCGCTACTATTGTCGGACATCACCGCAGAGTTGTCGCAACGGATCCATTACTATAGTATGTCTTTTAGAGGACACGACTTTGTTGTGGACACGAATTAACCATTGATTGAACAGTTGATGATATAGTGACCGATGAAGGGATGAGATGTGATGGCAGTGAGCGTTAATCAGGTGTTAACCGACGCCAAGAAATTGGTGACAAAACTGAAAGATTATGACACAAAGACCGACCATTTGATGGCCAGAAGCCAAACGCTGAACAAATCGGTCGAAGCCATGAAAGAGGTATTGATTTGTTGTTTAATTGATTGCATGAATCAAGTGATGAATGATTGTGTGTTTGTTCGCCATTAGTATCACGAAGAGGTGATGGCCATGAGTTCGCTGCCGTCTTCGGGCCAAAGAAATGCCATAATTATAACTATTCAAAGAGAAAGCAAACAATTGCGTAAACTAGAGGTCGAGAATCGGGAGCTGAAGTGCGCTCTCGAGGACTACCAGTCAGTTCTGGAGCTAATAATGAGTAAATACAGACTCCAAACAAACCAATTGATTAAATTGGAAAGAGTGGAGAACGAGTGCCTCAACAGTCAAACCAATAACGACAATGAAGTGATAATCAAATTAATGAATCAAATCTGCGAAATGGCTTCAGTTATGAAGCAATCCATAGAAACAGATGAAACGAATTCATTCAAAGAACAGGAACTAATCGCACGACTGAGGCTCGAAAACAAGTCCCTCCGGGAATTGCTTCAAATCAGTCAAACTAACGGTTCCCTCAATAAAACGCGTGACGAATGATATATAAATCCCATAATTCATTGTCTATATATTTATATATAAATGTCTTTCTTTTGATTCTCTTTTTGTTTTGTAATATTTATCACAAAATAAATAAATTTATTTATAATTAAATCGTTAACTAAAAAAAACTTTATTTGATTAGAAGAGATGTATTGATTAGAAATGATATTTATTTGTTGTGTTCATTGTGTCGCTCGATATCGCTGTAATACTCGACGGGATTCTTTGGGTTAACGTTTCCATCGAAACCCTTGTCTTCGAAGCCCTCATCATTTTGAGGTGATTTGAGAGATCGGAACACTTGTAATGCCTTTAAAGAAATAGTAGAATTGTATTATAAAAACAATTAGTGATTGGTATGAATGGGAGTGAGACCTGAGTTGTCATTTTGGCCACATCTGAGGCATCGTTGGACAGAATGATAGTGTTATTAGTTTTGGCCAATTGTGAGAATGCTTTGACGTATTGTTCGGCGACAGTGAGTGCGGCCGCGTTTTCGCCCGAATTGCTTCTAAGCATATCTCCAACCAATTTAATCCCGCGGGCCTTCGCCTCCGCTCGCGCTATAATGGCTTTCGCCTCACCTTTGGTTTGGTTGCAGACAAATGTCAAGAATCTAATCGATTATGTCTATCATATGATACAAACCTTCAGCGCTATTGATTTGTTCCGTTTTGATTGCTTCTGAGGCCAGAATGCGAGACCTTTTCATACCTTCGGCGATATTAATCTCGGCCTCTCTTCTGCCCT